GCTTGGCTCAATCTGGGAGGAGGGGACTGGACCTGCCTGGACTGAGTCTATCAGATTGATCCCAGTCCTCGGGGGAGACCTTGATCTCTAGGAGGTGGGAATAGGGGGGTGGGCTGGGGGGGAGGGAGAGAAAAAGGGAATCTGTGGCTATTATGTAGAACTGAATAGTACTGTAAAATAAATACAAAAAAAAAAAACAGGAAAAAAATGTGTAAAGAAAAGGTACATGTTTATACAGTGGAGTATCACTAGGTTGTTTGTTCTAGTTTGTTTTTGTGGTTGTTGTCATTGTTTTTAATAAAGAAAAGCCACAGAATAAATTAACCTGGGCTTATGGAACTCACAGAGACTGATCCAAAAACCAGGGAAAATGTATGGCTCTGGCCTATGTCCTTTGTATATATGTTATGGTTGCGTAGCTTGGTCTTCTTGCAGGATGCCTAACAATGGAAATAGGGGATGTCTCTGACTCTTTCAAAGTTGAATGCCTTCTGGAATTAGGATTGCGTTTGTAGTCATTTATATCACATGAGTTACCTTGCTTTTGTAGACTCCTAAAATGTTTAATATTGTTCAAATTGACAGGTTCTAGTGTCATGCAGTAGATCAACCTTGGAGTATGCATGTGAACTGAATAGTATTGTAAAATAAAATAAAATAAATACACTGATGAAAGAAAAAAATGTTCATTATAACTTTTTTTTGAGATAGGGTTTCTCTGTGTTTTTTGGTACCTGTCCTGAATCTCTCGCTTTGTAGTGACTTTTTTAAGATTCACAGAATACTATCTGCCTTTTATGGACAATGACAGTCAAATCTTTCTTTGAAGTTTGTGCTGCACTAAATAAACACTGGCTTAAGGTTTCTTTCTTGGCTGAATTATTTCTTTATAGAAGAAAAGAACCAAGGACTCCTATATCTATTTTTATATAATAAATGAGTTTCATTTTGACTATATATTATGTGTATAATGACCATTGTTAGTATTTACCCATTATTTTCTCTATATATTTTTTTTCAGTGAGTAATGTGGAAGCCTAAGATGGACTTAATCTAATATCACTTTGCAATGAATTTCTGAAAGATCTCTCCTCTTAGCTGAGACAACTTCGTCAGGATCAACCACTCAAAATAAAACACCTACTAGGTCAGGAGGTCTCTGTAAACTTGAGAGTTATTTTATTTTCCCAGCCATTTCAAGTGTAAATGAAATTTAAATTGCTGCAGAAGATCCATTATTTCCATTGATCAGCTCAACAGAATGTGTACAAGAAGATGTTACAGCTTGTGTCTATTCATTGTCATGGCTGCTTTCTACAAAGAAGAACAAATATATCACTTTATTTTTGTCTCTAAAAAGACTTATAATAAGCACCAAATCAGACAGAAAGAACTGAAGATGTGAAAAGTCTTGAACTTTTTTATGTGTTGTACTCTGCCCCGCCTTTCCTCCATACAGTGATGAGGACTGTACTGGTTAATGCTGAGAATCACCCTTTATTTAGTCAAACACTGATGGTACACACTATGTTTGACTAACAGTAAAGTGTCCTTTTCTCTGTCTCAAATTGCAAAAGAAGCATTTTAATCAATACGGAAATAATTAATAATAGTGATTGGAGAACAAATCTATGGCAATACCTATCCTTCAGGGAGAATCCCTTCTTTCTGTAAAACTGTACATAACTGAGAATTGAGTATGGATTTACAGAGCATATGATGATCAAGAATAAGTATGTGAAATCTGGTAGACTGTGAGAGGTGGTATGAGCTGGAATCTATGCAGTTCAAGTTGACCAGTCTGTAGCAAAAGTATAACTTCTAAAATAGTTATGATATACTATAATTCCAAAGGGGGGAAATCAGCGCTGATAATTGTACCTACTCATATTATACTATACATTTAAATAATTTTTGTAACACATTTTTGCATTTCATAGAATAATAAAAGGAGCTTTGTGTGTTAGAGTTTAATGGACATGATTGTGCATGCAAATTATTAGCTTCTTTTTTATTAAACATGCATCTATTGATTAAGTTGTTAATATCTGTTAAAAAGTAGAAACTCAGAAAAACAGTGTCACATTTAACAGTACAAAAACAATTACATAAAGAGGAGAATTATTACAATTACAGAAAAAATATGTAAAACAGAAAGACATTTAACTTGCTGCATTGTAAAATTTAGAAATTCCTTTCCCCATAATGCAGAAAAAAGTAAACAGATAAAATTGAAATCAATGTTTAAAAATTACTGACATTTTTCATATATATTTTCTTAGTATAAACATTGGGATTATCCCCAACATAAAGACACAAACACATATATCATTGTTTGAGCTTTAGTATGTATGTGTGTGTGTGTGTGTGTGTGTGTGTGTGTGTGTGTGTGTATATGTGTGTGTGTGTGTGTGTGTATGTGTATATATATGTATACTTATATATGTATATATGTATGCATATATATGCACATATATATGTAACAATATAATTAAAGTAGAAAAGATTGAATTTGAGTTGGGGAGATGGTGATCCCAATATATATGGAAAATGAAAAAGATAAGGATGGAAATAATGTAAATAACATATTTTTATATGAAATTCTTAATAAAATTGAAAAGTAAAAATAAAAAAATACAGGCTAGGGTGTTCTATTAACTAGCCTTGATGCTAGATATAAATAAAAGTATATTCAAAAATAATTTTCTCCATCAGAAATGTCTATTAAGTTAATTTGAAAGTTCATTAAGATATTTTCTGTTCTCTCCAACAAAGACCACAAAACACTTCACAGAAACAAAGGGTTTGATGAATGATTCTATAGCTATACAAGAATAAACTAAGAATTAGAGGAACAAACACTTACTTATAATGACCTTTGTAAATGCAGTAGAGATGCATTGCTTGCAAGCTAAAGCACATAGAATGGGTTATTGTGAGGAATAATGAACAAACACAGGAAGCAGCATTGTAGCATTCCAGGAGTTGTGGTATAACTGTCAGAACTGTCCTTTATTCCAAATCTTCTTCTCCTAGCAACTGCTGGTTCTTATGGGACCTTGAAAAGGCATCTTGTGAGCTGTGAGGTTTTGTTTCCTTCCTGAGAATTGGTAGAGTCCTTCTTCCTCCAGAATAAAAATTCCCTTAAGGAGAAAATTGCTACACAACATCCAACTAGTTCCTCTTATATTCTTCCCACTGTTTTTTTTTTTTTGACATGTATATTGAGATTTAGACATGTGCTTGTATATGTATACACACACACACATACACACATACACACACACACACATACACATATGTATATATTTTTTCTCTATGGCTGAGTGTTAGGGAACAATGTGATAGAATCATTTAGTCTCAGAAACTTGATTTATTATAAATCTCTACAATACACCTCCAATTGAATATTTCCCTGACATGCAGTTTCCTTCTATGACCAATTGGAACTGATAGTAATAACAATCTATGGGCAGTAGTACCCTATGGTCATTAACACAAATATGTAGAAAGCAGTCTAATAAGCAAACAACACCCATTTAACAAATTAATATCAATGGCTTCCCTGTTGAAGCCTATTACCTCCCTGTCCTGAGATATCTACCTTGGCTTACCTTAGCAGATATGAGTTTTATATTGTGAAAGTCAGTTTGTTGTACACCTAAAAGTTCTGTCAATATATGTTAATGGAACATCTTGACTAGTGTGGTGTTTTGTTGCCTATAGGGACCATAACCAAGTATGAGTGTTGATCAAGAACCTATATAGATAACCCATTATGGCATTTTGAAAGCCACTCTAACAGTAAAGGACTCCCAGCTCAGTCTCAGAATGCTTTCTTCAAGTACTACAGCAAAAGCCTATGATACTAATGACATCATATTTTTAAGTATGCAACCAAAAACTGAATCAGTAGTCTTTATAACTTTGAAGCCGTGAAAGCCTCCTTGGACAACAGCTCCCAGAAATATAGCCTACTTCTTATACTGTGTGTGATCTTTCACCCAATCATCTTATGCTTAGTGGGAGTGTCATTTTCCATTCCATTGGGAGCTCTTTGCTACTTGATGTTTTCTAAGGTTCCCGGTTGGGCTTGCTTTCTCTTCTACTTAAAGAATCAAAAGGCAAAAGTAAGAAGAATCTTGACCATGACAGGCAGCAGTGGATAAAGTGTGAACAGAGCAAACAAGAGCAGACAGAATCAGTAGTTGAAGCCTTTTACTAGGGATGAGGAAAGAAATAATTTCAGTAAGCAAACAGAGATCAAGTCCATTTTCAAGGCACAGCACACGAAAGCAGGAAGCCAAAGCCCAGGCTCTCTTTGAAGGCTGGAGTTTTTGAAGACTTCAAAGAGTCTCCCTCCCCTAATTTAGGGGTGGTCAATTTGAGGGAAAATAGGATGGACAACAACTGTTGTGTAAATATGTCCTAATTGGGCCTTGAAATTCCTGAATCATTCCATCAACAAGATCGCTGCTAACAGAAGAAAAAACATATCGGGCCTTTGATTTAAGTTGCCAGGATTTGTCTTTGTCTGGGGAATGAGAAAGAAGCCTACCATCTTGGAAGATTCCAAAATTTCTACCAATTGTTTCACCACAAAGACAGTGTTAGCAGGCTGTAGATGGAAGTTTCTCTGGTCCTGCCTGGCCTTATGTTCGGGAAGAATCTCCCTCATCTGTGCCCTGCAGCCACTTGGTCCCAAGTAAACACACAGAGGGCTTATATTATTTACAAGCTGCTGTGGGATGGTCTGTATGTCAAATCGCTCTGATTGGTCAATAAATAAAACACTGATTGGCCAGTGGCCAGGCAGGAAGTATAGGCAGGACTAACAGAGAGGAGAATGGAGAGAACAGGAAGGCAGAAGGAGACACTGCCATCCACGGCCATGACAAGCAGCATGTGAAGACGCCATTGAGCCACTAGCCACATGGCAAGGTATAGATTTATAAAAATGGATTAATTTAAGCTATAAGAACAGTTAGCAAGAAGCCTGCCATGGCCATACAGATTGTAAGCAATATAAGTCTCTGTGTTTACTTCGTTGGGTCTGAGCGGCTGTGGGACTGGTGGGTGACAGAGATTTGTCCTAACTGTGAGCCAGGCAGGAAAACTCCAGGTACAAAAATCAGTTGGCCTATGGCTAAGAATTTTTGCTAGGTAGATCCTTCATCTTAAATTAACCCATTCTTATTCATCTATATTTTGTCACATGGCCATGACATTACAGGTGAGCTGGCATCTTGCTCTTGGTTGGCAGGCTAGCATCTCTTCTATACTCTGCCTTTTTTCTTCTTCTCTCTCTCGGATTTCCTGCCTGGCTATAACCTGACTCTCCAGAGCAGCTTCTTTATTAACCTATCATAGCAACATGTATCACATTGTACAGAAAGACACCCCACAGCAGCAGGCCACACCTGCTAGAAAGCCAGGTAGGCAGCCCATAGAACCTCTCCTGTTGCCATCCTGGACCCAGACTAATATCCTGGTCTAATCCCAAACACTGCAACAGAATACCAAGTGCAGCCTCACAACTTACTACATCACCTGTGGATTCCACATGCCATTCCCTCCTAACCTCCTTTCCACTACTTAACACTGAATCCCAGACCCCAACTCCAGCAGACACCCCAGCTAAACCACAGGCTATACCTTCCAGAAAAAACAGATTAATTGCCTTCAACTTTTTCTTCACTCTTTGTCCCCCCAACCTTAATCTCACAGTCCCATTCCTAACACTACAATAGAACACCAGCCTTCCGTCACCATCCCCATATCTTCTGTAGATCCCACAGACCATCCCATCCTAACCTAAACTACTTGTTGCTTTATCTCAACCAACTCCAAGAAGCAACCACTGCTAACCAGAGGGCAGTTCTTCCCAGGAAAACAAGTGGCACAGGAGAAAACTTTCTGAATAGAAGAGTGACAGTGAAGATGCTAAGAACAATATTTAATAAATTCAAACTCATGAAACTGAAAAGGTTCTGTAGGCAAAGAACCCTGTTGATAAGAGAACAAAGCACCTACAGAATGGAGAGAGATCTTCACCAACTCCATATCCAAAATACATATATATTCAAAATACATAAAGAACTCAAGAATCTAGATATTTAAAATAGCAAATAATCCAACTGAAAGTTGGTAACCAGAGAATTCTCAATAGGGGAAATCTCAAATGGCTGAGAAACAAAGAAATGTTCAGTATTGTTAGCTATCAAGAAAATGTAAATCAAAACTATTTTGAGATTCTATTTTATATCTATCAGAATGGCTAACATGAATAAGACAAGTGACAGCTCATGCTGGAGAGAATGTGGAGCAAGGGGAACACTCCTCCATTGCTGGTGGGAGTGCAAATATCTACAGCCACTTTGGAAATCGGTGTGGTGGTTCCTCAGAAAACTGGGAATGGATTAACCTCATAAGCTAGTTATACCAATCTTGGGAATATACCAAAAGGATGCTACATCCTACCACAAGGACACTTGCTCAAACATGTTCATTGAAGTATTATTTGTAGTAGCCAGAAATTGGAATCCACCTAGATGTGCCTCACCAGAAGAATAAAGAAAATGTAATAATTTATACAATTACTCAGTTATTAACAAAACCAACACCTTAAAACTTGCAGGCAAATGGATAGAATTAGAAAAAAATTATGAGTGAGGTTACCTAGACCCACTAAGTGAGGACACCCAGGCCTCTAGAAATACAAATATCATATACATTCTTTTATAAGGGGATTTTTTAACTAAGTAAATGATAACAAAGCTACAATCCATAGAACAGGTGAGAGGTTAGGCAATGAGGAATGTTGGGGGGTGGGTAACCTAACTCCCCGAGAGGGGAAATAGAATATATTTTATGGGCAAGCTTGGAGCAAATGAGGATGGGAGTGGGCAGAAGAGGTCAGGTTGTAGATGTAACTTCTTGTAATCTATGACGGTGATCTTAATGAGGACTCCTAGTAATGGGTGATACAGAGTCTCAACTTGCCATGTCTTCTAGCTAGGCAAGCCTTCTTATGGTGGGATGAGGATGCATCAATTGAATTATTGTCCAAGGAAATCCTATGGAAGTCCCCAAGTATTTTATGTTGTTGCTAAGACAGAAGCCTGTTCTCTAAAAAGTGACAGTGGGGACCTATTGTCAAAGACAATATGTGCACAACTCATTGAACAAGAAGTTGAAGTTGCGTCTGCTTGCAGCTTTTACCTATATTCTAGTCTGATGACAAAGGTACTCTGCAGACTACAAATAGAAACATTGACAACAACCCATCTACAAAACCTTCGAACTAGTATCTGTCTTGCCTGAAAATATGATAGGGCAATGATGGCACAAAACGTGTGGAAGTGGCAACCAATGTCTGATTTGATTAAAGATCTACTCCATGAGAAGGAACACATACCTGACACTGTTTGGGTAATCATGAACCAGAAAGTAGATAGCCTAGGGATCTAGGATATAAAACTAACACTATTGTTCTAAAACAAAATCAATAAGTGATTCCTATGCTATACTCATAGATCAGTGTCTTATCCAGTCATCATTACAGAGGCTTCCTCTGGCAGCAGATGGGAACAGATGCAGAGACCAACAGCCAGGCATTATGCAGAGAGAGAATCTAAATTGATGGTCTCCATTAAATCCCTCAAGTCAGAGCTCAGGGAATCCCCAGTACATGAAGATGAAAAGAGTATAATGGATGGGAGGGATGGAGGACACCAGAAGAACTAGACCCTTTGAATCAGCTATGCAAGGAGCATATGAGATCACAGAGACTGAAGCATCAACCACAGGACCTATACAGTTCTGTCTGCATCAGTTCCTCTGTATATATTATAACTAATAGCTTTAAGAATGACTGGATTTCTGACTCTTTTTTTCTGCTCTTGGTACTTTTTTCTTCCTTTGGGTTGACATATCCAATATGACAGTTTTTGCTTCATCTAAACATTTATATTTTTGTTATACATGGTTTCTATCTCTTAAGAACCTGTTCTTTTCTAATGAGAGACTGAAAGAGAAGATATCCAGAGGGGAGGAGAGGTGGGGAGTAACTGGGAAGAGTAGACAAAAGAAAAAGTATAATCAGGAAAATTGCTTGAGAAAAGAATCTATTTCCAATAAGAGAAAAAAACCTGTTAGATGCAGAAACATATGTAAGAAGAATTATGCCATTTAGCTTTGCATAATCTATAACTTTTCTATGAGCCCCTTGGTCTCTCTGTCTTGGAGCTTTACTGCTTTCATAGTCCTCTATCTACTATCTCCCTATCTTTATGGGTAGGGTTGCAATGCTAGGAGATGGTTATTCTCAAAGGCTGGCCCCTGACCTGCTAAGCTTTGGAGCCATCTCTGGTTCTAGCAGTCTCTTTGTCAGTAATGGTTTTTGATTTCCATTGGCCTGACTACTGCTCTGCAATGGTCTCTAACCACAGTGTGCTTCACATCACAGAGTCTATGGAGATAACTCTCCACCCTTATTACTGGATTAATCTTTTCTTTCATGAACTTTTGCTTTATTTGTATGACTGTTTATGAATAATTGATATGTGAGTACAATGGCTAGCATCTGTGGCTTCCTCCTTCTTATAGTTATATGTGGAGACAAACTGGCTCCTTCCCATGGTTTGCTTCTAATAAACACACTGAAGTTCCATGCTGTGGTGATAGAAGCAATAAGTGAACCCTACTCTATTCGAGCTTCACTGAATGCTTATTTGTGCCTTCATCCCTTTAACACTCCTAACCAAGGTTATGGCACTCAAGCCACATGGGTGGCAACATTTAGACTTTATGGGTTTCCAGTGGCATAGAAGCACAATATTTGGCTTTTAGTTAATTTTTGCTCACCTAAGAAATTCAACATTTCATATCATGTAATGATGTAACATATAATAAAATAAGAGAAAGAAATAGATAAAAGAGTCTTGCCAGTATATAGAATGTCATTCAGTAGCAATGTCATGCAAAGTGCTGCCTATGGAGCTTCCTAGATTTGAATAAAACATTTGTGAAAGAGGTTAATAGTTACTGAATGTTCAAGACCAACACTGCTTTACGTAGCTTGAAAAGACAAGCTCCTGTAACTACCATGACAACTCAAGGTCAATTAGATATTTTCCTATGGGCAAAAATCACACAAATATTAAGGTATATGGCCACGATTTGGATCACAAGTGAATCTAGAGTTTATATTTTGAGTGACTATTTAGAGTAAGTTAGTAGTCTCTTGTATAATATTAGAGGGACCAGCCTTAATATTATACTGTGATACCTCAGTAAAACCCCCCACTCTATCCCCTACAGACAAAGAGAAGCTTAAACCAGGATTCCTAAGTGTAGATAAGAACTTAGACCCCTTTTCCCCAGGTGGCTGTATCTGCTACAAGGACTTTGGAAAACAGTCAGGATATTCGACCAAAAGACTAAAAAGGGAGGCGGGTTAAAATAAATTATATGGTCTGTGCCTTTAAGAACTAGCCTCACAAAGAAGGGGGAGCACTCCTTCCAACCTCCCTGCTGTGAGTGAGAGGTTTGGAAGAGCCTCCCTGGAGACTTGTAAACTTAGAAAACACCTTACTTTTGCATTCTGTACCTAAAAGTCTCCAGTGGCAGCTTTGGGGACTGTGATCTAGGCCAGGCCAGTTTCAAGTCCCCAGAAATGATGGCGCCAGCCCCAGGAACAAAAGAACAGAGTCAGGATGTCTGATGGTAACCAATTAACCACGAGATGCCTCTCTCCAGAGATAACAAGACCTGACCCCAGAGAGAAGTTGTAAAACTCCTGACAAGGCAAACAGACAAGCTAGAATAAGATAAAGTTCAGGCCCGGGAAAAACTTGACCAATCAAGGATGGACCCGTATTAACCCCCTCCCCTCTAAGAAATTTTATGGGTTTTGCCTATAAAAACTAACTTCCCCAAGAAAGAGGCACTCCTCCCTGCCTCACTGTATTGGGTGTAGGAATGAGTCCCTGTCTAGACTTGTATCTGCAGAATAAACCTTGCTCTTGCATTCTGGACATCCAAGGCCTTCGGTGGTTTCTTTGGGGGGTCACAATCTGGGCATAACAATACATCCCAGGGGCTCAGGAGAGAGAACCACTAATGACAAGGACTATTTTCAGGAAATAGAATCTCAGCACACCGATGTCTATAGTCCACTTGCTTTAATTCCTCTGGCATAACATCCTATATACACAGTTTCAGTTCTGTTCTCATGCCTAGCTCCTTTCTTGCCTGATTCTCTCTATATTTATCTACATTTCCCTCTAGAGTTCTAAATTCTCTTGTGTTAATTCTGCCTCATCTAGGTCCTTTTCATCTTGTTCTTACCCAGCTAGTACTTCCCCATCTGACTCTTCCTCATCTTCCATCTCGTCCACACATACTCTCCTTATTCCTCTCCGTTCTCCATCTCTCCATTCTCCACGTTCCTCCTAAGTCTCCCAGGAATCTAGTTATAAACCCAAGCAATAGCAAGACCCTGGTCGAGCAAGGTCACCAGGCTTGAATTCTACAGAGTCATAAAGGCAGGTAAGAATTTTCCTCAGGCAGTGACCACCAGGCTTCCAGAGTCAAATGAAGGGGTGATAAGAATCACATAGAGGGGCAGTAACCATTAATTATCATTCACAACCCTAAAGGGAAATGACCAATGGGGAAATGAATTAACTAGAGGCTAAATTCAGATAATATCTAAGAAGAGGGATCTTATGTGCTCAACTATAGTCTTAAATGTGATTGGTAGAAAATGTTAAGAATCTATAAGTTGTTAGGTCAATTGGAGAAAATAAAACTGCCTTCTTTTTTCCTGTGGTTCCTATTCAAGCTATCTGCTGTTTTTTTCTGTGGGGTAGAGGTAAGTGTGCTTGGTTGCTAGGCAACCTGTGCACAGCTAGATGCCTCTGGTGATAGTTAAAGGGAGATCTGGAACTAGAGGTAAGATTTGGGAAAGGAGGATTTAAGCTTAATTGGCACATCCACCAAGCTTTCTCAAACAGGTAGTCTGGACAGTTAGGTCTGTTGTTAAAGAGTACAGAGGTATCTCTCTGATAAGGTACTTTTCTCCTTCTGGGGATGGACTTGGCTGGATGCTGCCAATGACAATAATTACAGGGAGGGTTGAATTGGGGTTCTGGCTGTGCATAGCTGTCAGCACAGAAGGTTATCTAAATACTCCTTTAGTAGAGGGGAAATGGTGCCTGATAAATCATGGTAAAATACAATAGCACACAAGAAACTCATAGCAGGAAACAGCTGATAATCAAAAGCCAAATACCACCATGGCTCCTTGAACCTCAGCTTGACCTCTGGAAGACCCTTGGCCACTTCCAGGTATTAGCTTTGTCATTATCAGCTGAAATCCTACTTTGTATATTTTTGTGGCTTGCAGCAGTCCTCATGCCTACTCTATATTCTTCTTAATAGGATTTTAAAGACACTAAATATTGTAGTATTTAAAATTAGAGTGCTTAGAGTTTTTCTTTTTATGGCAACAAATAATCAGATAGGATCTACAGTTCTCACACCCTAACATAGTCACTAAATATTTTGGTTCCATAGACTTCTCTTTAATGAGTTTTCCCATATTCCTATACTATATGAAAGCCATGTTTTAATAATAATAAGCCATGCATAATCTCTCTTTTTTGGGCTCTGTACTCATTCATAGGATAGTATATTATCCTACTATCCTGTAATTATTGTCATTGGCAGCATCCGGTCAAGTCCATGAATGTACTATCCTATGAATGTAGTCATAATTGTCATAAAGAATTCTTTGCTTCTTAATATATAATGTTTTCAAAATCAGCTTTATTTTCTATAATACAAAGAAATAAGCAATTTTTGAAATTCAAAAAATTTAAATAGTTACTTGGTATAATCTTACTAAAATTATTAAATTTCATAATAAATATGACAGACATTTCCTATATTCTGCCCTTTAGTGTGACATGTTCTTATGAAATTGTCCTTTTAAAAGCTGTTTCATGAGAGAGGAGAGGTGAAGAAACAGTGAAGAGCACTTGTTGCCCTTCCAGAGAATATGTATGTTCTGTCCCCAGCACACACACACAACACAACACACACACACACACACACACACACACACACACACACACACACACACACACACACACACGGGGAGAGACAGACAGAATCAGAGACACAGGCAGAGTCATGGAGAAAAATTTAAAAATATAGGTTCATGACAAACATTTCATATATCCTGGCACATATTCTACCCAAGTTTCTGTCTGTCTTGAATACAGAAGAATTCAAGAAATACTTCCCATGTGGCTAATTCTGGTTCCAGTATGTATCTAAGAAAACTTAGCTTATTTTTATAATGAAGTTTTTAATTAGAAAGCAATGGAAATAAGGGAAATAGCATGCTAAATGGACTTATGACAGTAACTTACTTGTGAATGAAAAAATATTTTGCAATTTGTTTTCAATAAAACTCCAACTTTGCCTTTGATAACTCATAGAAGTTGTATTTTATGTTGTAAATAAGGTCCATCCTATAAAATAGAAATATTCATTGCACAGTGATTTTACTATATTGTCCTATGAAAAATACCATAAGACATTCTATCTTAATTTCTCTGTTATATTTTATGGGAAAATCTGTATCGGTAGTATGCAAATATTTGGGTTTGGATCACATATATTCCAACTTAAGTTATTTAAAATCTGATTAGAGAAGAGACATAAATCAATTTTTATAATAGATAGTGGGGGTCTTCAGCACTTTAGTACAAGCAAGGCCAATTTTTTACTTAATGGTAATAAGTAAAATAATTTTAGATATACATAGCATGAAATGCACAAGAGCAATATTTGTTTTACTGAGAATTAAAGATACGCTTATTTCTTTCTGAGAGTCTATGCTAAATAGCATGTCATCAAGCTAGTTAAGTTATGTGTTCAAAAGAATGCCATTTCTTGCAGTTATCAACATTTGCTGATTGAATTCATGGCTTCAATAAGTACCTATGGCTACACTTTTAAGCTGTTTCCTCTTTGCTACTTTTCCTCCTCTGGCAAATGATTCACTGTATTACATTAATGCATTAGTATTAGCAGTATTAATAATAACATAGCTGACATTTTATTGAATGTTCTGACATTTTAAGTATTTTCACTTAGATGATTTTTGCAAATCAAGACAGTGATTGACAGTACATCAGGCTCTTACTGGTACCACTAAGAAAACTATTTCTCCTTTATGTTTCAGAGAATACATTAACATGGATGATGGAGAGGAACATCTGTTTCAGATGCAAACTCTCTGGTTTCTGCTCTGTGTTAGCTTCTTAGTCTCTAGTGTTCCAGTATTGATGGTCATAAAATTGAAATCATTATTCATGTCTTCCTCGAGCAATGGCAAAAACTGCCACTTTTTACAGGAGGGTCAATATGGCAGTTGGAAAATGCAATTCTTCTTTCAGCTTGAGGTAGGGATGGATTAGAAAAGAGCTGAGTCAATTATATTCAACAAGGATTTAATGAACTCTGACCCTACTTTAGACTACTCATACTAGGAACTGTACACTGTAAAAATATGAGTAAGATGCACCCTTTTGCCCTAATGCAGATTAGGGTAGGAGGAGACTGAGAGGGAATTAAAAAGAAACTGTGGCTTTACCACTGGATGACTGTAAGTCATTTAGAAAAAAAATAGATGCTCATCATATTATTATAGATGGGCTTACTTATTATTACAACTTTAGGTTTTTCTGAGCACTACAGGAGATAAAAAGTAGCATTGTAGCAATAATTAGGAAATATAGAAAAGCATATAGTATTGAAGAATATGAACATAAGTGAGAATCAGAAAATAAAAAGATAGAAAATAAAGAAAGCCTTTCTTTCAAAGGTAGCATTTGGAATTCAGGGGCTGGGTTTGAGAAAACAGATAAGGAAATGTTACCCAATGTCTCCAGGTTTGAAATAGGAAAATCCAAAGCATACTTTGGGAGTCATAAACAGCAAGAGAGAGTTTATATTCATAAGATTTCTTCATGTGGATCATAACTAGATCGACTTTTATGATTAGCCATTGTTTCACATTTCATTGATACCATTTTGCTTTGGTTTGCCCTAAGTACAACATAACATGTAGCAAAGTCAGGGTCCTAAGTTTGCATACTGTTTAGAAGTTGTTGTTTTTTTATTAATGACAAGAATGTAAGTTCTAATATCATATTTTCATTTATTTATTTTATTTTGTCTCATTGTACAAATAACCCAAAAATTTGTTATTTTTAAATAAGTCCCTTATTTTGTTCAAGAATGTCTGTCTATTGCGGAGAAGCCTTGTTGCTACATAGCTGATGATTAACCGTGTTTTAATATCTACAGATCAAAATTTTCACAAATTTAATTGCACAAATGAAGAAAACAATTTCTGATCCTGGGTTTGCCCTATGTTGTAGAATTGCTACATTACAGAGTCAGTGTTTGAAATCATATCTACTTCTGAGTCTCAAGTCCTTTCAGTATGTTGATGTCCATCTGTTGACTTTTTTTACTTAACTAATTTAAGTGTATTTTTTCAAGATTGTGGGAGGAATTGTTATTTAATGAAAGCACATAGAATGGAGGAAGTGTGATTCATGTGTTTTCACTTGTTTCTTCTGATTCTTCCCACAATCACTAAGAGCTCAAGAATTAAATCAAGAGTCATCTCAAATTGAATTATATATCATGGAACAAGTGAAAGTAAAACACTTAACATTTGTTAAGTTCTAAAATCTAGCAACATGGTGTCCATTCCCTAAGAGTGCTGTCTATTTTACGAATTCTGCCAAACTTATTATTAAACCAAATGAAAATATAATGTAAGACAAAGAGAGGTTGCTTTTGTATACAGTAAAATTTGGATGTATTTTAAACATCTTCTAAGTTGTGAAAAAATTATGTACAGAGTGTTACTTCGTATGCAAATTTTAAAGAGCATAAATAAATTATACTCAAGATTCATGCACTTTGGAATAAAACAATAAAACATTTGCACACTTATCAGTATGATGCTGCCACCTGGGACTCTACTCATAGCTTGAAAAGTAACCATTTTCCATATTTAATGAGCATAGAGCCTCTACAGCCCACTGAATATTACAGTTGCATCTTATTTTACACCTAAGCCATGACAAAAAGAAAGCAATTAAAATCAGAGTTCATACCAAATCACCATTTTTGTATTGAATGTTTTACATATATTTTTTAATTAAAATGTTTAGAGTTATGGTCCATTTTTCAGAATTATTGTTCAGTAAAAGAAAATAAACTCACTTGTTCATAAAGTGCATCAAGTTAGATGATATATTTCTTTAATATTTTTAAGTAATTTACAGGCTTATGGTTGAATAGATATATATTTGAGTCAAAACTGAAATCTGTTTAATGGAGATGTAAAAT